GTCGAACCCGTCGGAAGCAGAATCGCGAAAAACTACGACAGAGGGCGCCCATAAATCACGCAAGGTAGCTACCGATTCGTCAGTCCTGTAATCGCTCCCCCGTACTGCAGGGATATGTATAAGCATGTATGTATAAGTGTATAGCGTTCGTGCAATTTTAGACATTATTTGTTCTCATGCATTATTTGCTCGAAATTATGTGTATGCGTTTCAGATTTGTTTCAAAAAAAAATTTTATTAAAAAACTAAATATTTTACTACATTCGCCTTTCTTATAAATTATAGTTTTATATACCTACAAATATTCTCAGATATATCGTCACCTGAAATGCAAAAAGACGTAACAAACATCGTCGCTGAAATGCAAAAGTCGTAACCCTGCAAAAAAAAATATCAATTGATAAAAAATAGCCAACTTGTAGTTAGCTATTTTGCTGGATTTCTATGAAATGTATAACTTTTAGCTAGCTACAAAAATCTAAACTGAAACTAGTTGAAAAGTAATACAGGAGTTATGCAGACAAGTTTCTAAATAAATATCCTCATACAAACACACTTTTTTCTGCACTTTACAAATACTTTTTCCAATTGAGGACAAATAAAAGGAAGATCGAAATTTTATATTATCATTTTGAAGTTTTGTCTGACGGAGTTCGAATATGGGACCACCCACAGCAGAATATGTAAAAATATATGAAATGTTGTAAAATAAAGTAAATAAATAAAATTAATTGTTTGTACAAAATTGGAACTTAGAAACGGAACTAATTCTTTCTTTTGCTATAGATCTTCCTATTTTTTCAGTCCTGTCTTTGGTATAAATTAGACGCTTTTGGATAACACTGTTGACGCGAAATTCATAAGTTGCGGAATTTTTGATAACTTATTTATTCCAAAATTAACATGAATGAAATGAAGTTGTCGATTTGTCACCACGGCAATAAATCGGTGAGTCGCCAATTTGTTGCCATTGACGATTGTTGCCTATTTCTCATGTTCTGCATGGTGAGATGCATCGATTATGGATGCAAGGTATCGATGTGCCGACGTTCTACATAGCCCGCAATCGATTATAAAACATCGATATTTTACGTCTTATCATCGATACTATCGAATATCTATGAACATTGTGCATCCCTAAATTGTAGATCCCTCCCCTTTGTGTGACAATATCAAGGCGCACGCCACAAATCGGAGGACAAGTTCAGCCAAACACTAACATATGTGTAAGCGCCAATCTATTTGTAGTATTCTTTTGTACACGAGCAGCAAAAGAACACTCCAACTGGGTTAAACTTGTGTTGGCAGCACTGGTGTGAATTGTCAGAAAATGAGCAAAACACACAAAGCAAAATGATTAATTGCATTGGAAATTTGGTAAATATGGTGATTAAATAAAATTAAATATTTGAGAGTTAAATTAATCCTTAAAATAAGCCAAAATTGTTTTCAATATTTCCGAAATAAATAAATCATTTAAAATTTTACTTACTGCTGCTCCTTTTTTCGTCTTTCTATTTTCCTATCTTCGTCGAAATATTTTGACAATTGAATGGAAGCCTTCCAATTTCCTTCCAGAATCATTCACAATGGCGCAATAATTGAACTTGGCAGCACACCGATCCAGGTCGTATAACGTTATACGAGTTGAAACTAACTCGTATATATTGCACGAGTTGTGTTGTTGTTTCGCATGTAAATGGACATTTAAACGAGTGTTCTTTTGTACCTCGGTTGCAAAAGAATACACCAATTATTATATTATTATTATGTATAAGTATGTAGACTATAACCAATTTGACTACTCATTTTAGTTTGGGTCGAAGTTTTAATTAATTACGTTTTTAAATTATGCGCATGTAGGCCATAGGAGATGCCATTTTAAAACTGCTCCTTTCTTGCAATAAATAGAGAAATGATATACGATTTATATGTATTATGGAATTAATCAAGACACAATTACTTTTCAAAAACTAAAACGATATCGCCTTCTGTTGCACAGTTTTCATGTTACCAAGAAATTACTCGGGAATTCATCTCGAGTTCATCTATACACATAAAATATGTCGAGAAATAACTTAAAGAATCACTGACTTATACACCCATCTTCAAATAATAAATTTTTCATTTACCATAAAAACTTTTTCAATTACTAGTTATTTAGATGAAAGTTCAAGGATATATAAGATGTATGTGAAATAACTTGGTGAATGTTGTACCATGTGTACATATATACATATACATACATATATATGCATAATGCGGTATGAATAACCGAAATTGTCGGAGCCACAGCCTCTCAACTTAAACGTGGATATGTGTAATTATTAAGAGAACATTCAAGTTAAAAACTGTACAATGAGGGCTTATATTCAAAACCTGCTATCAGCGATTTTCAGAAAAAGTACATTCAAGTGTCTGGGGCTTAACTGTCATCACTGATGTTAATGCTGACCTTATACGTCGATAAACTTAACATAAGTGATAACAGTTAAGTCTCAAAGAAGTTCTAACATCAGAAAGTAGTTTTTGTGAAAATCGCTGATAGCAGGTTTTGAGTATAAGCTCTCAACATGAAATATTCGTTTTGACTGTATTGAATTGAATATAATAAATCCATACGAATACAAAATATTAATAATCAGCAATATAAAAGCAGATCCACAGTAACTTCAACCGTATTTGCACTACTTTGAATATAATCTTAAGTCCCGTAAGTCGTGTTCGCATTGTCTTCATCTTCGAACTTGTGTATGACCTAGCCAAATTCGACTTTTCAAACAGATGGCAACCCTCCTAAGTATAGTTAAGAGATACTCAAATTTTTTGCATCTCATATTTAGTGTCATACTTATTTCAATTATCTGATGGTTAAGGTTGAACTAGATCTTTTTAAATACGTGGCAACCCTCCTAAATATAGGTCAGAAGTAAAGCTTTTTAAACCCATTTCATTTGATACCCATCTTTTAATAATTCTTTTAAGTTATTAATTTTAATATTTCATATAAATAGACTGCGGATATTTATGCAGAAAAGGAAACCTAAATATGTGCCCCATAATACATATAAACAAAATGTGAAAAATGTATATGTTTTGCTTATAGATAAGTGGTACATATTTTTAGGCCTTGTTTTCTAACTAACGCATACTTTAATTAAATTCGACTTTTCAAGCAAGTGGCAACCCTGCTCAAAATATTTTAAAACCAAAATCTTGTTAAACCTCTCCCGTCTTACACCCAGTTTTTTTCAAAGCCTCTCGATTGATATACATATTGTAGTAATAAATTTAACCTGTTCATAATATTTTCAAACTAAAACCTTATTTTAATTTTTTCGTCTGACACCCGTATAGTGGTACAGATTGAAATTATCTAACAGCTGAAAACTCCACTATACGCGCATAGTTTAGAAATGAAATTTCTTCAATTTAGAAATAAAGCCTTTTCAAAACCATTTCGATCGATATCCATTATGCTATAACTGATTTAACTTAATAAATAATTTCAATTTAATTTTTTAGTTTATTCTGATGATATGAGAATAACGCTAACGCGTATTATGCATACATATGTATGTATGTCTATTAGCGTGATCCAATTTTTAAATTATAACCAAAACACTCAACGTATCCCTTTCAGGTGTAGCGACACCGTAATAAAAGGAATGCGTCTCGATATTTGCAGATCAAAATTTCAGTTGGATGCGTCTGTATGGCCTTTTCAATTTTATAAATAATAATTAGGTGTTATCTCTGGGCAAAAAAATAAAATCTATAAAATAATCTTTATTTGTGATCAAAAAAAACTAATGTTTTTATTCATAAAAAATAAAGTAGCTTTAAAAAAGGTTTATAAACTAAAAAATTTATGAAAACGTCAATTTGTAAAGCTCTTTAAACCTACTTAATTTTTTATGAATAAAGCCATAAAAATTCAAATAATACTTATTACCGTTGAGTGAAAAAACAAAACTCGATACCAATTATTGTTTTTAAGGGAAAAAACAATAACCATAAAATTATGATTAAATGCTGATTTATATTATTTTACTTATTTATAAGGATTACGGCCGCTGTAATAAAGTTTATGCTATGCAATTACATGCATGCACATGTATGTAGGTATATCTGCCTACCTAAATATAGAAAGGGCCTATCTTACATCGTCGCCGAAATGCAAAAAAGCCGTAACTAACTTAAATCGTTTATTCCATAAAACGATGTGGGGTCTTATAATTCGATGAAATGCACCATAATCAATGAAAGAGTGGATTTTGGATTTTTAGTTAGTTGCGGTTTTTTGTATTTCGTTTGTAGCGATATGTACGCTTAAAAAAATATAATTTAAAAGTCTTCCATGCGACTGTTTGCAGGATTTAATCCTTTTGATTCCGCTAGAACTGGCCGCGTTGTGCAGCAGGTGGAGATGTTTTGTTGAAATCAAATTTAGTCCATATCAAAATCTTCTCAAGTGCGAGCAGGTTTTCTAGTAAAATAGCCGCTGAATGCCGATTTTGTTTCAATTTCGAATTTTCTCGCAGGAGGATTCACAAGTCGTCACAAGGAATCGTATTGCCATAATGCCAGGAAATATATTCAAATTTAGGTCATGCCAATGCCACTGTCACGATACAATAAAATACGAGCTCGCAGTGTACAACTAATTTTCTAATATCTTTTAATAACTTTTATGATGTAAAGAAATGAGTTTTAGCTCCTCTTTAACAACCACTCCAAACGACATCGCATGTATGCATCGGCGTAGCCAGAATGAAATTTAGGGGGGGCTCGACCCTATTAAGCTGGCATTTCAGGGTACTATTTTATATATATATAAGGAAAATTTGAGCACCCCCTGCCCTTACCTGGCTACGCCCATGCATGTATGTATGTAGTATGCACTCGTATATTTCGAAAATTTGTTTTATTTATAATATTGATTTAAAATTTTGATTATCATTAACTTAAACAGATTATTCCATTCCCTTTCATTGCAGGCTGCTATGCATGTGGACGATGAAACGCTCACTTCACAGCTCGGACATCCAAGCATGCCAGGCATGGGACCGCCACCTCATCACCAGACTCTTAATCTTAGCGATAAGCAGCGTGCCGAAATGCTTGACATTCCAATGAAGAAAGCGAAAGGCCTCGATGAGACATCTGCTTATCAGCTAGAATACCAGCGCTATCAATCCCTAATGTATGCGCACTGCGCGCAGCAACAACGCGTCGGTTCAATGTCTGCGTTCCGACCGTGGGCGCCAAAATCCTTCCTGCATCCAGCTGCAACATACAATGCAGTAGCGGCGTTCTCCACACTACCCTATCTAAGTCAAGAACCACCAGTGTTGCAAAACCCGGAAAGGGTAGTACGCAGCACAGATCGCGAACGCTTCGAACGCACCTACCAACCAAATGTAGCACTTGTGCCTCGCAAATGCATTTTGACTAAGGACAGAGAGAAGGAGCAGCGTGAATACAGGGAGCGGGAAAGAGAGCGAGAAGTGGAACGAATGCGGGAGCGGGAGCAGGAACGGAAACTTGAACGCTCCCGGGAACGTGAGCAGACTCGGGAACGGGAGCAACGGGAACTAGAAAGGGATCGAAGAGACCGGGAAATGCAACAACACCGGCAGCAGCATTTGTTGCAGCAACAAAACCTGCATCAACAACAACAAACGCTGCAAGAACATGCGGTGTTAACAAATTTGTGCGCAACTGAAGTGCAAATAAAGCAAGAGCGTGCCAATACACCAAACGAGATGCTCCAGTCGCCACCCCTTACGAATGTCAGCGGCGGCGGCGACGAGAACCCTACTGACCGGCGAAGCAACGGGCCGCTCGACGAAGACACCATATTGCCAATGATATCACCCATGTTGAAAATGAACCAGCAGCAACGAAAAATGCCAAGCAATAATAATAGTAGCAGCAATCATAGCAACAGCAACAGTAGTAGCAACCATAGCGATGTGGAGCAGCAGCAACAGCACCAAGTGCAGGAGCAACAGCAATCACAGTCGCGGCGACACTCACTCTATACCTCAAACTCCTCCGCTTGCTCAACATCATCGACGACATCGAATACACCGCCACAGCAACAATTACTGCCTGCGCATCTGCCTCCGTCGCAACAGTATCAACAACAACAACAGCATCAGAGACATATACAGCATTTGACGCTGCAACCACAGGCGACACGACTTCGACAATCGCCCCGAACGTACCCGCCTTCGCCGACAGACACACACAGCTCCGAGGAATTTTCGGGTTCGAATGAGATCACTTCATCCACTTCCCCCGCGCCCTGTAATGAAAATAAATGCATAAGTCGTGGCCATGCGCCACACCATAGTCTTAATCAGGAATCAAGCCGAGAGCAAAAAGGTCAGCCGCTCATCGCAACAGTGAATCAACATGCCAAACTTCTCCCGACGCCGATATCTGCAACATTGACTGCCAGCAACAACAACGAATTGCCAAGCCGAATTCGCATAAGCAAAAACCTTATCAATCGGGCGAATATAATTAGATCGCCTACACCTCCGCCACCACTACCTCTAACATCCACATTAGCCCAACTGCATCCGCAACAAGAGCAACACCACCATCCACAGCAGCAACAACCCCAGCTGCAAGCGTTGCAACATCACCAACAGCAGTATGAATATTTCAAGCAAAATCAGCGACTTATTGATCAGCAACGTCAACAGCACCATCACCACCACCAGCAACAACCTCTCTCATCAATACAACAGCCAAACCTCATTATGCGAACCCATCATTCGCAGCAAACGCAGCACTCACCCACGCCCGCACAGTCTTCCACCTCAACTGGACTGAACCTTAGCACCCACTCCACAAAAGCTACGATGTCATCGCACACAATGGATGCACAAAATCATCAGCCGCAACCTCAACAGCCGCCATCACACAACGGGATTCCATACATCGGCTCCGAATTTGAACTGTCGACCGACACAGACGATGACAGCGTGAGTGGGGAGGCGGATAGCAGCAATATTTTGGTACCTTGGGATATGGCTGTCGAAGCGTTACGAGACACAAGACCCAAAGAGCGAGAACGCGTTCTCAATTTTCTGCGGAAACTGTTACATGAAAATCAGCAAATGCGTTACAGCAATCTGCAACTCAGCGAAATGATCTACAAGCGTGATGCTATGATCAGAGACCTCCGAGATCAGCTGCAAACTTGCCGAAGACACATGCAGATGCTCAGCTTACATCAGGAGATGCCGGGACCAACGAATGGAGCGCATCGCAACGACAGTTTTCAGGATGAAGAAATTCAGAAATCATTATCATCAACGGAGGGTCGATACTTAGAGAACCATAGCCAAGCTAAGGTTGGTGCTGAAATCAATGGAAATGATGTTCACGCAAGGAATGTAGGTAACGCGACAGAGACCGATGGAAAGAAAAGCTGCAAGCAGTCAACAAATGGTCAGCTCACTGAAAGCGATGAGGAAGGCGATCGTAAAAGAAGCGAAGACGATAACGATAAAAGCAGTGATGCAGAAAGTGAAGACGATGTTGCCGACGATCGACGGAGCGATGTCGTTATGCAAGACAGTGTCACTAGCGCTAGAGGTAGTGGAAATCACTTAAACGAGAGTGATGCAATCTCACAACCTTTGGCAAAGCGGTCTAGGGTTGAAAGTGACAGTGAAAGCAGTTCCAGTTTGAATCAAGAGCCTAAGCCTGCGAGCCACGCAGGTCAGCAGACATCCCACAAAGTGCAGCATAATAATTCTTTCGATTCGGAAGATGAAACGCCATCGACACAAACCGAAAGGAATACAGAAATGGATACGGGCGACGACTATTCGAATGCGGAAAATAAGGAGTACCCAGAGTTAAACGAAAATAATGATCTGAGCGAGGACGAAGAAGAGGCTACCCGCTTTACAGTCACAAAAGATAGCAGCAGTGATACATCTGACGAAGACGGCGATCAGAACTCGGAGCCCCTAAACCAAACACGTGTGGGCGAGACTGATGTACAGGCACCTCACAGTAGCGCATTGGCCACGCCACCAACCGCAACCACACCATTGTCACCACATTCTGCCGCAACTGCAGGACAGTTGTTCGATAGCAGCAATAGCAGTGACGAATCGTCCATGAAGAAAGCGCAAATGTCAGCATCCAATGCACTCGCCAAAATAACTGAAGCCGCCGATGATACCACGGAGCAGGTGGCAAATCAAAAAGAGAAGGTGAAGTTTGACGAAGTTGAAGACAGCTGCGACGAGGAGGAGGTAGAGGACGGAGATCAAGGCATCGGCAGCGTGGAAGTAGAACCCAGTGAAAATATTGGAAATAAATTCATCATCAATAAAGCTGAATACTGCTCGCGCAGGGGGCGACATATTATCAAAGCTAACTTACACTCGGGAAAATCACGTGAAACCCGCAAGGCACTCGATTGTGAAGATAACAAACTGAATGTTAACGTAAAAGCCAACAACACAGCTGGTGTCGAACAGCTAACCCGCGCACCACTGGCTACAAAGGCCAGTAAAAAACAAACGCCAACAACGAATGTCGAGTTACGGATCAAAGAGGAACTAATTTAACCGCTTCAAAGCGTCAAATGACACACTCGTCGTATTCATCGTGCCTACCATAGAACTCCTTGAACCAGAGAGCATGCGTAGCTGAAACGCCCAAGAGTACAGTCTATCTCATATATGTATGCACATGTGTATATATGTGCAGTAGGGCGGGACGATTTGTAGGGGCCCAAAAAAATTAACAGGGCCACATCGCGCTTATGATTATTTGGGCATTTCAAGCATTTTTGTCCAAGAAACCATAGGTCTAAAATGAATTTCGAGCCAACGATTTTTTCTATCTAGTTTTTTTTCAAAAAGTGGCTCATCTGTTGAAACAACTGTATTGAAAACTAGCCAAATGTGTATCAGGGGGTTTTTGGGGTCGAGGAATCCATTTCTGGCCTTAATTTTTTCTTTTGGGGGCCGCCAGAGGGCGCTTCCGTATTTTTTTTTTAATTTCAACGCCCTTTTTCAGAAAATCGACAATATTGTTGCGAAAATCCACGAAATTTGACTTTCTCATAATGCAATTTAAATTTTTAAATAGCCGAAGATGTTCAGCGTTGAAAATTTTTTTTATTTTTATTTATTTAATTTTTTTTTTATTTTACATATTAAACACTGTATGAAAATGAAAACGCACAGTATGAAAACGAAAACGCATGCTGTCACACATGTAATTTGTCATACAATATGTCGATAAACAGTATTACCAACATAATATTAAAAAAAAAATACGTTATACGTATTAAAAAACTGAAACATTAGAAATTGTTTACATTTAATATGTTTTTATCTTTTAAGTAGAATTTTTGAACAAAGCAAATTATATTAAAATAAGAAAAAAATTTGTTTTGTAAAATTCAGAGAACAAATGAAAAAATTTATGAATTTGTTGTCCTAAATTGAATAAAATCGATATAAGTTGTGCATGAATATACCTCCCTTCCCCCTAATTATCATCGCTTAATATTTTAGGCTATTTAAAAATTGAAATTGCATTATGAGAAAGTCAAATTTCGTGGATTTTCGCAAAAATGTTGTCGATTTTCGGAAAAAAGGCGTTAAAATCCAAAAAAAAAAGTATGGAAGCGGCCTCTGGCGGCCCTCAAAAGAAAAAATTAATGCCAGAAATGGATTCCTCGACCTCCAAAAACCCCAGATACACATTTTGGCTAGTTTTCAATACAGCTGTTTCAACAGGTGAGCCACTTTTTGGAAAAAAAACTAGATAGAAAAAATCGCTGGCTCGAAATTCATTTTAGACCTATAGTTTCTTGTGCAAAAATGCTTGAAATAACCCAAATAACCATAATCGCGATGTGCCTTTGATGCAAACAGTTTGACCCGCCCTAATGTGCAGGCATACGTATTTACATACATACATACATGCGTACGTAAACTGGTCCCATGGCATCGGTTTTCCTTAGTTCGTAATTTCTCTAAGCCCTTTCCCCTCCTAATCTACTAGGACCCCTTCGTATGCTTACGCTGTAGACTTTTTACGAAAGCTGCTATAATGCTTTTAAAGCTTACAACAAGAACGCAAATTAAGTAAAAGTACATGATTTTAAAAATTTTGTATTGACTTACACTAGGTTGTAGGTTTATACAGAAAGCACCACAAAACCAAAAATTTTGAACATATTTCCATCGCACGAGCAGAAAAGGCATACATACATTGGTCATTATTTTACAAATCGTACACCTTTTTTGACTTCAGAATTTAAATACGGCTAAAACTTTTGTTACATATTTGTTATATGCACTACACGCGTTGAAATATTATACCTGTGTCAGTTTACATATAGTCGAAAAAAATTTATTTTCAGAGATATGAAGGTTTAAAGTTTGCATGATTTATTATTATTTACCGAACTTTTCCATGTCCAAAATTCAATAGGGCTGTTCAGGATCTTGTACATATGCTCTTGCATTTGTAAATTCACAACTTGTGGCAGCAAGCGTAAAATTTTCAAATGCAATTCCAACTGCAAATCCTAGACCATTTCCTCAACATCCTGAACTGCGGTATTCAAACTGTTTGTAAATGCAGAGTTGCGACACATTGCAACCACATACATTGCATATTTTAAATATTCAATATAGCAATGAACAATTTTTCTGAATTTTCCATTTTTAAAACACCAATGGTAACCAAAAACAAACGAAGCATCAACTTTGTTTCTGATGCGCTGATTGCTTTAACGATGCGTTTCGATAACTTTTCGAATGCGTTTTGGAAAAGTATACATTGTCAACATTTTGTAGTTCGGCGTTATGGGACATTATACTTTGTAGGTATGCAAAGTAATTGGCGTTTTGGAAGTCAGCCTATGTTAAGTTGTACTTAATGAGATAAATTTATGTACTCATAAGTTAGCGGCGCCACGCCCATTTTCCAAAATTCCATAATAATCTAATTTATTTTTAAGAGACTGTTTTGAGAACCAACTTTGAGTAAATTAGCGTCCTTAAATTTCATAATATTGAAGTTTCCGTATTTGTGAAATTTACCGTTATATAAAAGGTGAGCGTAATTTCATTGCGATTTGAAACATTTTCAACATCTTCAACTTTTTGTGCCAAGTACAATGATTATACTGAGTTTGGTAGGAATTGATAAAACAGTTACCGAGATACACATATATAATCATAAAAGTGATCTTACACGATATGGATTTGCATATGTAAATGTGACTTTAGATACATATGTAATTGCATCTGTGTGTCAAATTTACAGTCTTTATTGAACTATTTAAAAATACGTTCTTTGAAAACGTAATAAACCAAACCTAGATGAAAAAAGAAACATTTATATTTCGTATGTATATGCATCTGCTTTGTACAGAAGCAAATCTAATTTGTCTTTACACGATATGTTTGCATTTTCATATGTAAAAAGTGGCATGTATACATACATGCAAATAAATATCGTGTAAAAACACCTTAAGTGAGCGGCTTTAGGCCCATTTTCCAAAAATTTTAAATTTTCTTATTTTTTGTTAAGAGATCAATGCTCTCTTCAATTTTGAGGGAATAAGCTTTAGTAATTACTAAAGTATCGCGGTTTATGTATTTCTGCAAACTAGCGTTAAATGAGAGGTGGACGTGGGTTTTGTCCGATTTTGGCCATTTTCCATACCATCCGTCCTTGGCCCAAAAGAAATATACTTACCAAGTGCCGTTAAGATATCTCAATTTTTACTCGAGCTATGGTGCGCATAGACAGACGGACGGACAGACAGACATGTCTTAATCGATTTATCTTTTCATTGTTGTCATTCTGGAATAATATGTATGTACATACATATTTATATATCTTTATCTACCGCGTTCCTTTAAGGTGTTACACTAGTGCACGAGCGGGTATACAAAAATTGGTACGAACGATATCAGTATTAGAACCAAAGATATTGAATTTTAATTATGCCAAAATTCGTAAATAATCGTAAATCGTCCAAACTCAAAACATCCACATCTTGGGAAAAAAGTGTTTTAATGAATTCTCGACTACATTTCCCAAAAAGTGAACAGAACATGTTTGCGTCTGTTAAAAAGGTGATTGTTTTTTTTCAATCCATCCGATTTGTAAAATAATGGCCCTAATGCATTCGTACATAGATATATATATGCATGCACTCAAAATATTTCTTAAATAACGTGCATACGATTATGCATTAAAAATTAAATTTATTTATTATTTATGTATTTTTATAACAGAGCATAACTTCGAAAGTACAAGTAGGATATATGTATGCCTATCAATTTTGCCTCAAATTATGACAGTTCTGATTTTTTTTAATAAAAAGTGTCCACCCACCATAAAGACTATTTGTATGCGGTATTTCTTTTAGAGACATATATTTATTTGGAAGATCTTTTAGATCATAGCCAAAAATTTGTTTTATAATTTCTGTATTTCGATTAACAACAATTGTTGTTTATGGATATTTGGTTTTTCGATCACATTTGTCTGTTATTTACAATTTAATTTGTATTTTTTCTATAATTTGTAATCGTTACAATTGAGATTAAATTTTTACAATCATACATATTTACTTGCATTTTTTGACCACTTTGAATCCTTTAACCCCAAGAAGGAATTCAGGGATTTACTCAAAAGCCAGATTGACGTATGGGGTATGCCTTGCTGCATATATATGTAAAAAATCGATAGTCAGATTTACTGGAGCGCATCGGATTAGAGTATGGTGGGTAAAAGCATAAACAGACGGCAACGTTGATCCGGATTAACGGCGCAATTGATCTGATCAAAATGTACCTTGACAGACGGCAGTAATGCGGATTTACTGCGTAGGTTCGAATTCCACGGCTTGTACAATATTCATTTAATTTCTTTTTATTCATTCAATAATAAATTCTATATTTTAAAGTTGTTTTTAGTTAAGTAGTTTTCTTTGACTCTTTTAGTAAAATTAAACTCTAAAAATTTAAATTAAGTGATAATAAAATAAAAAATAACATAAGACAAACGAAAATAAAATAAAGTAAAATTAAATATATTAATCAAATATTAAAAAAATTCAAGTAACAATAAAAACAAAATTTTTTGGTAATCGCTCCAACCGAGGATCGAACCTGTGGCATGCAGGCTTGTAGTACGCAGCCCTCACCACTCGGCTACCGCGATGGATTTAGTTGACTGCTTTGTTTGCGTATTTGTTTGCTCCGAGAGCGTAGAATGCGAAGAAAATTCAAAACTAGCAGGAACCGTATTAATTCAAATAAGGTCTTATTCAATTTCAGTGGGATTCCTATCTGAATTAGTATGGTGACTGCATACCGATGAAAAGTTATATGTCCATGCTAGTTTTGTCCTTTTTCTGTTTTGTACGCTCTCTGAAATTCGGTCAGTGTTGTCATCGAATATTCCATTGATCTGAGTTAAGTTTGGTAAAAGCTTAAACAGACGGCAGCGTTGATGCGGATCAACTCGTTAATTCCGAATTATCTCGGGAACTAACTGCAGTTGATCCGGATTAAGTCCAAGAATTAATTCCCAAACTTAACTCGGATCAAGGGAATACTCGATGACAACACTGACGAAAACTCAGAGAGCGTAGAATACAGAGAAAGTACAAAACTAGCATGGACCTTTTCATCGATAATGCAGTCACTATACTAATTCAGATAGGAATCCAATTAAAATTGAATAAGAACGTCCACGCTAAGTAATTTTGCTTTTTCTTTGTGTTCTACGCTCCCTGAGCAAACAAATACGCAACCAAAGCAGCTAACTGCTTCATCCGCGGTAGTCGAGTGGTGAGGGCTGCGTACTACATGCCTGCAGGCCCCAGGTTCGATCCTCGGTTGGAGCGATTGCCAAACAAATTTTGCTTTTATTGTTACTCTAACGTTTTATATTTTTTTTTTTTTAATTTTGATTTATATATTTAATTTTACTTCATTTTATTTTCGTTTGTTTTATTTTATTTAAGCTTTTTTTGTTATTATTAGTTCAATCAAATTTTTAGAGTTTAATTTTATTAAAAAATCAAAAACAACTAATTAAAAACAACTTTAAAAAAATTTAGAAGTTATAATTGAATGATTAAAAATAAATTAAATGAATATTCTACTGGCCGTGGGATTCAAACCTACGACCTTGCGGCCCATAAATCCACATTACTACCATCTGTCAAGGCACAATTTTGATCAGATCAATTGCGGCGTTAATCCGGATCAACGTTGCCGTCTGTCTATGCTTTAATTAACTCTACGACTTAATCCGTATCAACTA